GGACCCCATTTTCCTGTTTCCTACTATCTGTATTCTTTCTATGCTTAGAAAATTTATCACAGTTAGGGTTCTTCAGTATGTAAACAGCTAGGATGCATACATTGAAAAATATGTTCATGGGGCTGGGGATTTAGCTCAGCGGCATAAGCACCTGCCTTGCAAGCAGGCAGTCGTGAGTTCGATACCTGGTACCGATAAAAACGAAAAAAGACAAAAAAAAAAAAAAAAAAAAATATGTTCATAAAAAATAGAATCATGTTTTTTAAGTTAAGGTCTAGTTAAAATGTGGGATAGTTTGCCTCAGAAGGATCAAAGTTTATCTTTCTTCACAGTTATTTCAGTTTTATATAGATTTTTTTTCTTTTTTTGTCTTTTTCCTTTTTGTCGGTACCAGGGATTGAACTCATGACTGCCTGCTTGTAAGGCAGGCATTTATGCCGCTGAGCTAAATCCCCAGCCCCAGTTTTATATAGATTTTTTAAAAGTAAGATGCTTTTATAAAATGATTTTCTAAACTCCTTTTTTATTTCTAACACATTTATTACAGAAATAGGTTAATAAATATTTTTGTTTGTAAAAAGAAAGAGAAAAGAACAATACTGATGTGTGCATGAAAGGTTTGCATGTTGTGTTACAAAAATACCACTGTGTTGATTTTTCACTGATATAATTTCCTTAAAATATTCTTAAATGTCATTGTTTGAATTTCAGTTTTAAGTTGATTTGTGATATGTGTACATAATATTGTGACAGGATAGCGATGGGAAAATTGGAAAAACAGAGCGGTATTTCCACTGGGGGGTCTTATGGAGTTGTTTGTGGAAATCCTGCCAAGATCAAGTAGAAACACAAAATAATAGTATCTTGCTTTCAGGATAATGAGACTTTAGAGATCAAAATCTTAGGGAAGTAGGGTCCACGTGCAGGGACAAGCTAATACCCGACGGATACTTTTCTTGGTTTTGGTGTGGCTGAGCCAAGAGGCTGAGAAGCCCTGGAAATGCCTGCTCTGAGGGCTGCGGCTGATGTAAGGCAGAGATGCAATCAACAACTTTGTCAGACTACAAAGGTGAGGGTGTCCAGAGATGGAGAGTGGCAGAGACTGACTTTGTCATGGAACCAGTAGTGAACCAAAAGGAAGATGCCCTGCACCAAGGAGTTGGAAGGCACATGTTTATTATGCTGGTAAGCTGGTGGGAATCCAGTTCCAAGTCACCAGCTCCATGTCCATATTGGGTTTTGCTTGTACAAGTTTTGCAAGCAGGAAATACAGGAGGTTTAAAGTATGGTGGGTTTCCACTGGGTGGAGATAGTCATTGCCTGGGGTGAGTAGAAAGTCCTTGAAATATGTCAGAAAACCAGAATATATTTTTCTCAGGCAAAGTACCAACCGGGCAGCTGGATATGGTCAGACTGACCTGAGTCAGGTCATCTCTGAAAAGCTGCTAGGTACAGTGAGTCAAGACTGACTGGGTTGAGCAGTGTAGTTACGTGGTGGGCAGGATATGATACCAGGATACTAGTTAGTTTTAAAGTTACAAAATTTTTGTCATATTCCCATTTCTTTATAGATAATATTATTCTTCCTCAGTTTCCTCAGGTTTAAGGAGCTGATAAGAGGGGGTTACTTTTTGGAATGGGGGTTTTTCTCAACCTTGACACCACATTTCTTACTGATTTGGTAAACCCTTTCCCAGCTTAGGTCACCACCTCATGTATAGTATTGGTTAGTCTGGTCATTGGGACAGGCATCAAAGTATAAGATCACATTGGGCTGTAGGGTTCCAGTTAGCATGGTGGAGGATGTATTGAGCCCTCCCAAGGTGGACCTGAAACTCCCAGTGTCCTCCTTTTTCTATGCTCCTATTAAATATATTATCCATAAGGGAGTCATTTTAATTTTGGTTTAGGCAGCTAAAAGTAAGTAGCCCAAGAGTTATATATGGTGTAGGAAAGAACAAAAGCAGCCTTTTGATGGGGTTCCTAGTCTCTCAGAGTTATGATCCAGAGAGTGAAAGTAAGCATTGAAATTAACAGGAGATAAGGAATTAGGAACCAGGTAGAGAAACAGTACATTGAAGTTAAAATTTGACAGAGCAGAAAAAGGTACCCAGTCCTATGGTCACGCCAGTGTAAAAGACAGTGAAGGTGATTTTATAGAGATTTTCCAGTCCTCTGGAGATGTATCCTAGAGCCCTGTGGCACGTACGAACATAAACAAAATGAAAAGGGCCTGAGAGCCAAACTGGGTAACAGAACATCAGTCGATTTAGGCATGTGCTCCCCTACACAATGCTCATTCAGTCTTCAGCCTTGCGTGGACTCACCAGCTTCTAGAGTGGCAAGAGAACAGTTTTGAGTGCACCGTCTCTTTCACGTGGTCTTAGGGGCTTCATTCATCAGGGTAGGCTTTCCAACAGTCCTCAGAATTGTCTGTTTGATCTTCCAGTGGTGAATCCAGGGCTGGATCTCTGGCACTTTTACTGTGGTGGGAGCATTAAAGTCATTAAGTAAAGGCCTTTCCAAGCAGGAGACAGGGAATCCTTTTTCCAGTCTTCAACCAAGACCACATCACCTGGGCTGTGTTTGTGCAAGTGTGGTGGTGGGTATGGGTAATCTTTCTGCTATGTTTTAATGTGTCTGAGAGAAAATTTTTCCTAAATGAATAAATGTTCCTGTTAAGCAATATTTTTCAAATTGGCGTAGATCCCTTGGAGGCCTTTAATTAGAGGTGGTGGTCTTCTGAATAAGACTTCAAAAGGGGTGTACCCAGTGGGTCCTGGTAATATCTTGACTTTCAGGAGGGCTGTGGGCAGCAAATGTACTCATGGTGTCTGGGTTTCTTAGTAGTATTTAGTCAGAACTGACTTTAGGGTTTTGTAAGAACTCTGAGGCCTAAGGCCATGGAGATTCCATTTGATTTTTAGTTTCTTGAGTTTTTGGGTCATATCTGATACAAATTATGGTCCATTATCATTGTCTATGGTCAGGGGCAGCCCATATCCAGGAACAATTTTTCTGAATAATACCCCGCATACTTTAGAGGCCTTTTCAACCTTGCTGGGGAATGCTTCTGGCTACCCAATGAGAACCAATAAGTATTTGGAACCCTGGCACAGTTTAACTTCAGTGAAATTTACTTGAAGAGCTCTGAAAGGAAAAAGTCCAATGTGTTAGATTCCGGGAGGTGGTTAAGGGTCTGTCAAAGGCTTACTTTTGCACAAATTTGACATCTTTGGCTGATGGCAGTACAGCTTGAAACCCATTTTTGTATATAGTAACAGCAACCCAGAATCTGGGCCACAGCAGTCTTTCCTCTGTGGGTGATGTCACGGCAATGCTTTACTCAGGTTTAGCTTAACTCTTTTGGAATGATCAGTCAGTCATCTGAAAGGGTCTGGATGCCACTTGGATCTACATTTGCCCTTTCCTGTTGTGCCTATTTTATTTCTGTTTCAATATAATGGAGAGGACCTCCGTGCAGGCAGTGAACAGTTCTTGGAACCTCATGTTGTGCTTCTGAATTTTGGACCAAATCATAGTCTCCCCATGCTGAGCCTTCTGCAGCCATTTTGGCAGCTTTGCCTACCTTTTGGCTTCCAAAGGTGATGGAGTCTTTTACCTTTGTGTCCTTTGCAATGTACGACAGCTACCTTTTTGGGTTTCCGTACAGCAGCCAAAAGTTACGAGATTTTGTGTTTGTTTTAAATTTGTTTTACCTTCAGCTGTCAGAAGTTCTTTATATGTCCCAGTTGAGGGCCCATCTGAGTGCCCATAGCTCAACTCACTGAGTAGACCAGTTTTGGGGAAGAGGTCTTGCTAAGGGCACCTTGTTGGTGGTAACAACAGTGTAGCCAGCTTTATATTGCCCATTGTTAACAGAACTACTTCCATCTGTGAACTGGGTGTATACTTGCATCTGTGAAAGCCTCATTCTGGAGGTGGGGGCTGGCTGGCAAAGAGTTTATCAGTTAGTGCAAGGCAGTCATGGCCTGGTTGTTCGAGCTATGTGGGCATATAAGTAGTTAGGTTTAGAGACTTACCTAGCTGGAAGGTGAGTCGAGAATTTCTGACCATCAGTCCTGGACACTGGGTGATGTAGCTGTTTGACAGCCTATGGTGTTTCCCCCTGTTGAGAAGCTCGAGAACAGTGTGCGGCACCTGGACAGTTAGGTGTTGTCCCTAGGTCAGTTTATGTGCCTCCTTAGTCAGGAGGGCTGTGACAATGACCTGCAAACAGAGCAGCCATTCTTTTGACACTGAGTCCAGTATCTTAGACAGATAGGCAACTGGCTTCTCCCAGGGTCTGACCATTTGAGTTAAGACTTCTGAGGCTTCTGTCATCTTTTATTGATGAACAAGTGGAAAGGTTAGGTCACCTCTGAGATTCCGGGGGCTGGAGCTAAGGCCAAGGCCCTTTTGCTTTGTTTGAATGCCGTAGTTTCTTCCATAGTCCCTCTGGTTCCCTCTTTTTCAGTCATGGGAGAGCTCTTGAAGCCTTGAGGAAATTAACCCCCACATAAGTTGTCCCTTTTGTCCCATGTCAGGGTTTTCCCATTTGAAGGTGAAGAGGTCACTGTGCTGGCCATTTGGGTCACTGTGGAGGCCCTCTGGTCACAGTGAGGATCTTCCCCGAGGTACGGATGAGAAAGTGTACCCTCTGACTCTTTGTTCAGTTTCCTCAGCATCCCAGACAGCATGGATGTGATCTTCCAAGATTTCTATAGTACTTCATATACCATGCTCTGCATGGAATAAAAAATTACTAGATTTGGGAAGTGATGTGATCTCACAACCAGAGACAACACAGATGGAGTATATTCACAGGTGACCAGATATTGGTGAAGGACTTCACATTTCCTATGATTCATATGTAGAGAGATAAAGAAGAGAAATGTGCCCATCAACCATGAAACATTTTTAGAAAGAAAAACTTATAGAAATGAATAATGCCATCATTTAAGAACTCAGATATATTTAGAAATAAATTTTGACTCAGAACAAGACATGATTAATGAACTTCGAGGGACCTTAAACAGAGGGACAAGAAAGGATAAAAAAAATTACAAATGTGTAGTCTCATGGAACATAGTGAAAATGTCAAACACAGATAATGAAGTCCAAGAAGACAGGGGAGGAAAAAAACAGTACAGAAGCAATATGAGGAGGAAATGGTTGAGAACTTTCCATAATGTGTAGAAGACACCAGCACATGGAATCATGAGGTTCTGTGGGCCCCAAGCATGTCAAATAAAAAGAAAACCCTCACACCTCCAGATGCCATAGTCAAACCATCAAAATCCAAGGGCAAAAGAGAAAAATCTTAAAAGGAAGCAAGGCAGTTATAGATTAGAAAGCACTCTTATGAAATAAAAGTGAGATTAATAGTTGATTTTCCACCAGAAAATATGGAAGTGAGAGGAAAAGGGAATAAAATATTTGACATACTAAAAGACAGTTACTGGTAACTAAGCGTTGTCTTCTTGGAAAAAAATAACTTTCAACACTTCAGGAGAGCCTGGCACAATGGTGCATGCTTGTAATCCCAGTACTTGGAGGCCCAGGCAGGAGGATCACTGTGAGGTCAAGACCAGCCTGAACTGCATGTTGAGACTCTGTTTCAAAAAACAAACAAAGAAAAACAAAAACAAATAAGCAAAACAACAACAGGGACAAAACCTTCAGGTGAAATTGTCATATACACTTAATAAGTTGAGAAAAATCACTGCCAGCAGATCTACCTTAAAAGAAATACTAAAGGGATCTTTCTCAGAATGACTTCTGGTGACTGGAGTCAGAGAGACATACAAAGGAAAGAAGAAAAGTAAAAAGAATAAATATATGTGCGAAATGAATACTGATTTATAAAATAAAAACGAAGCATTACGGGGCATTAAATGTACAACACGATGATACGGTGGTGGGGGAAGGTAGGGAGTGGTGCTGTAACTTCCTAGCAGTGAATTATTAGAGGGTTAAAGATCAAAGAAAGATATGGTAATCTCTGGGGTAACCACTGAAAGAAAAAAAAAAAACAAGCAGTTCTGACGGTGCGGCAGGGCAGCTGTGTCTGTGATTCAGGACAATCTGACCCAACATTGTTAGGAGGACAAGAATCTATTGGTGATCACACATGCGAGCTGTTTGATAAATGATGGGTTCCTCACTAACTCGTTCTACCACGACAAGGTAGCTTTTGTGAAATCTATAAATCTGGAACATAAACATTAGAGTATGCAGAGATGTGCTCGGCCTTGGACGATGGAACCTGGTTTTCTCTTTCATTATAAAACCCTGACCTTGTAGGTTACTAGGTTGAAGCAGAAGTGACCAACTGCATATGCTATATCCATTCCTTTATTTTTCTTTTATTTTTATAAAACTCCAAAGTACTTAGTTAAAAATACTCACATTTTTAATTTCTTTAACCCTGAAGGACTTTCAGTTCGGCTTTTGAGTTTAAAACCAAACTGTCCTTAGGAGTTTTGGAAAATTTCCCCGAGTGTCCACCTTTTTGTTCTTCTTTAATAATTTCTTCTGGGCTGGGTTGAGGATGGACACTCGCAGTTACAGTGACTGTCTGAGAACAAAAGGTACACACCAGGGAAGGAGGGACAGAGAAACCGAAAGAGCCCAGCCCTTAGTAGTGACTGAGCAGCTAGCTGCACAAGACGTGAGGAATTTCTGCTGTAGGAAAATGCCCCGTTTACTTAATCCACTATATTCGTATTGTGTTGCCTAATGTTAAATACCTTTGTATGTAATTCATGATTTTTTTAATCAGGACAATTTTTTCTGACACTGGAGACCACTCATGATCTGGCCCTATGTTGTCTACCTCCGCTAGAATTCTTGGTTTCATCCAATTTCTTCTTGCTCTCTTTCTTTCTTTCTTTCTTTCTTTCTTTCTTTCTTTCTTTCTTTCTTTCTTTCTTTCTTTCTTTCTTTCTTTCTTTCTTGTAATCCTCATCATTGAAAGCCAGAAACATCCAATCCTTTCTTAACTAAGTGCATCTCTCATTTTAGGTTTTCTGGGCTCACCCATTGCTTCTCTGTCTCTGTATCTTGCTCAACTTTAAAAAATCCTCAAACTTGCTATTGAACTATTGCATACACAGTGATTAAATACTGCAATCCCTACCAAAAAATGGGCTTTGCACTGCTTTTGGGTCAGTATAGGAGAGGAAGCTTTGGACCATGGCTTCTCCTGTGTTAAAACTGAGCCGTGTTAATCCTGGAGGAGGGAGTGGTGCTGTACCGGCTTCTGTGCTGCTGCTGTTTCTCCACTGCGTGTCCACTGTGGGCCCACAGGGCGCTCCGCTCAGCGCAGTCCCTCAGGAGGCATGGCTAGGTGGAAATTGGAGAGCTGAGACTGAGGTTCAGATAAACTTTCTTTGTAAAGAGTTTGAAGAATAGAAGTTAATATTTCGATATACATGTGCATGGTGAAATGCTGACCATAGCTAACCAAATGAGCACATCCATCGCTTCACCTTTGTGAGTTACTCCTGTGTTTGTGTGCATGTGTGAACATGTGTATGGGAAAAATACCTAGAATCTACTCATGGCAAATTCCACCATAAATACATTGCTCTAGAGTAAAGAAAGTTCAGATAAACTTTCTTTACTTTTGAAACGTGGCGGTATTTAATTTTGTCTTTACAATGATGTATTTGGGAAGAGCTCTTAGCTCAGTTTTGCAGGATGAAAATCTGGAATCCTAAAATGATTACTTCTGGGCTGAGGTCTGAAAAGTCTAACTTTCTGGCTCACACGTTTCACTAAGGCAGTCTAATTTCTTCACATGGAGGGAGTTTGCAAATGAGGCTCTCCCTTCCCTGGTCTCTATGCTGGTCCCCAAAGCACTTGAGTTCTTCAGCTAATTTTAGAAATGAATGATTGCTCACATGGCTCCTCTGGGGAGGTCAGACTCGGAGGAGCTTGGCTTGGCTAAGTGCTGGCTGACTTTTGGGAATTCCCAGCCTCTGATCTTCAGGCGGGAAGGCGATTATAGCATTTGACAAATGTGATGTCTGAACTTAGCACCTAGCAGACACCGGCTTTCACAGGGGCAGGGCAATTTAAATATTATGGAGGTGTTCTTGTGGGTTGCAAGCACTTTATTACCAGCACCAAAATACCAATTTACATAGATATCACCTAAAGTACACAGAGAAGTTTGAAAAATGGAAGCTTTTCTAAGGCTAACAAATCAAGTGTAATGAGGAAAAATGAGAAAATGAAAATGGAAATGACTTCCCCTGCAGTGAGCTACACAGCTGAAAGTTTGCTCACTCTGTCTTATCTCTTTTCCAAACTTAATTTTATGAAGGGCCTGCTCTGTGCTAAGAAAATACTCTCTCGCCTTACATGTAATATTCTCTGTTGAAATCAGGGTTAGAATCCAGAATACTTTCCTTTATAGGCATGGTGCGAAGGGAAACTATAAGTAGATCTGTGTCTTCAGTATTGCTCATTTGTCATTTTTGTATCCCTTTTTGTTTCAGGCAAAATGCTTTCAGCGGTAAATGAGACCAAACAATACAAACTAGTTCCAGGTGTACACAAATGCTTTGGTCTCACTCCACAGTGGGGGAGACTTCAGACCTGGTTTGATAGGGTGTCAATCCCATTTCTGGGCTATAGGTTATTGATTACTTTCTCCATGTGTAGACTTTATCCTCAGGCAGGATCTCTTCTTGGCAGTAAAATGACCTTAACTTGCACATACTGATCTGTCAAAAGCAAGACAGAAGACTTCCAAACATAAGACAAAGTATCTGTAGTCCTCCTTAGCTTACCTCGAGCAATGCACTGTGCTAATTAACCTAAGCCTGGACACATTTCCATCTTTGGTCCTATCTGTGACAAGGAGGATACATTTATACATGGGGGGGGGAGAGAGAGAGAGAGAGAGAGAGAGAGAGACAGAGAGAGAGAGACAGAGAGAGACAGAGACAGAGACAGAGACAGAGACAGACAGAGACAGACAGAGACAGAGTGAGAGAGAGGAGAGTGAGAATATCTTTCAAACTATGCAGCTGCTATAGATATAGGGGATTAGTCAGTTTTTCATTATTATCACATAATGCCCTAGGCAGACAACTTATGAAGAAAAAGATGTTTATTTAGGTCATATTTTTTCAAAGAGAAAACCCAAACATCCTAGAGCTGACTCTCAAGAACACAGCAAGGTGCATAGCAAAGAGCCTGAGGGAAGAAGGATCACATTTTGGAACAGGAAAACAGAGAGAAAGTCAGGGTTAGGCCCAGGATTTGGCGATGACTCTTGTAAGAAATCAGTGCAGGAGAAAGCACTGTATCCTCACAGCCATTCTCCAGCAAGCCGGGGACCTCTCACTGGGCTCCACTTCTGAAGCTTCCATACCACCTCCCACTAATGCCAACCTGGGCTCAACCTCAGCCTATGAGGCTTCAGGATGACAAACAACATTCAGAACATTACACGTAGAGGGAAGTCTTCCTGAAACTGTAATGCAGTATGTGGCAAGGAGCGGAGGGAATAGATGTTTGCACAATTTATCTATGTCCACTATGTGCATGGATAGTTCCCTTTAGGGTCAAGACATTGTCTTACTACTTAAATATTTTCATGAATCATCTCACATGGTGGACTTGTTTCCAACACAGAAGATAAATTCCCATACTTCATCAACTATTGGTCTGAGCAGAGGATGGTCAGGGCCTCTACCCATGTGGTGTGGCGTGTAAGCTTTGGGACATCTGCGAAGCGCAGAGACAGCCAGGGAGGACCCATTCTTGGACACGTAGCATTCCATAGCTTCCGATTTCAGACTCCTTCCTGGATCGAACTTTTCCAAAGGTCTCCACCTTTCCCTAACTTCAGTTGATTGCGGCAACTTGCTCTCCAGAGGTGGTTAAATTCCACCACTACATTGTACAAGACGTTGGATATGAATGTTTTCATGCACATTATGTATGCACTCATCCTCCCTTAAATCTGTAAACGTGATGCGCTGTTATAACAAACTGATGGATTATTTTTAGAGCCTCCACGTTAAAAGCAGGAAAAAAAAAAAAAGCTCTGTGAATACTGTTGCTTTGGTCTCATGATGCCTTGAACATAGAACATACCTAGATCTCTGCCTGCAGAATACATGGGCTGATAAATGGATGCTGTTTTCACCTGCTAAATTTGTGGTAACTTGTTACAAAATATATTTAGGTTGGAAGCTCCTGGAGGACCAAAGCTGTGTGTGGCCTCGTGATTCTGCACGAGTGGAGCTTCATGTAAGTTGCATTGTTTTGTTCCCATATAGTAGGTTGTGACAGTGACAGAGGAGGAGCAAGTAAAAAAAATCCCTTTGGCCATTAGAAGTAGTCAGTTTCTCAGGCACTGAGACATGCGGCATTTCTAGGTTTGACTTCAGAATCTTAATCTTACCACACCTAAGCCAAAGGAATTTTTTAAACTGTCATATATTTTTCTGATGAGAGATCTGTTCTCTTCCTTTCCAGTTATTTCCCCCAGAGAGTTGCCGTCCTGATATGCAGCAATGGTGTTACCCATTAAATTATTCAGCTTTCCATCATTATAATAAAATACGCGAGGCAATTAACTTATAAAGAGAGAAGGTGTATGTTGGCTCATAGTTTGGGAAGTTCACGTCCAGGATGGACAACCCTATTGTTTTGGGCCTCCAGGAGGGATGACATCATGACAAGGGTGTGTGGCAGAGGAAAATCTGCAGTGCAGAGGAGAAAAACAGCTTATCTCATGAGTCTGGAGGAGGAGAGAGGACCGAACAAGACGGCAGTCCCATAGTCCCCTTCAAGGGCATATCCCCAGTGACCTAAGGACCTCCCTCTAGCCAATGCTCCTAAACGGTCTAGCACTGTGCTGGTGAATCTTTTAGAGGTTTTAATGAGAATGAACAGTTGGCTGCAGCACATGTGCCATAGGTTTCCCATCACTGGTCTGAGACCTCCCAGTGGTGCCGCCCTATAGATGGAGCCTTTACATGAGGACCTTGGGGAACACTGTACAAACCATGATACCCACTTGGTTCCACCCCCTGGGTTTCAGGTGCATATGACTCCAGCAAGCCTTTCCACTTGGCTCCCTCTGAGGTTTAATCTAAATTTTTTGAGCCACACATTCTTTTTATGTCATTTTGCATTCTATTAGAGCAGCTCAGTTAGCTGCAGTGGCACAATCCCTTAAGAATATTATTCTAAGGCTGGCTCTCAGAAACTGTGTACATTTGCAATTTCACTTCATAACTCAGCTAACCATCTTGATTACTTTACTATAAATACACCAAAATATTTCTTACTAGGAAATTGAAGGAGGTGGTATTTAAAAGCAAAACCTTGAAATTAGACATGAAGAGGAAGTTGGAATGAGAATGAATCAGCTGGAACTAAATATACCAGCAAACCTCGTGATGCTGAAGCTGCCACATTATAAGAATAGCGAAGAGGCGCTTTGCTTTCCCCTCTTACAGCTTGCATGTCAACTAGCTTGTGGGAGGACATATTTTACTTTTGTATATTCTCGCTCTTGCACTGGTGAGCTTTAAACTCGTCTCCCACAAGGGCAGTAGAATACTTTTTCAGCTTGTTATTGGGCATTTGCACTCTTGTTGTCATCCTCAATGCTCAGTGTATTAGCGGATGATAACTGAGGATCCATTACCAGAATATGGATAGGCTCCGGTGAGCACCTTTTGGGAGCTCTTTCGGCTTGCAGGAGTAATTTACATTCAAATGCAGGGGAAATAAAATATAATGGCAGAAATTGCCTTCTTTGCTAACCCTGTGGAGACTTCTACCAGGCTTCAAAGCCTCACATTTGAGAAAGGTAAGAAGAATAAGGTAAGGACGTGAGTCCAAGAAAGCCTGAACCTTAGTTGTATCAGGTAGGTTAGCCTGGCCTGTGTAAGATGAGCCGTTGCAGCACTGATGGGTCCTCCAGTGGGAATCAGAATGTAAGGATGAAGAGGAAGAAACTGAGAATTCAGACCACATTGACAAGTATCAATTTTCCTTTTAAGACAATTATAAAATTATTTCAGATCAAAGACAATAATGTTATAATTATGATATATAGTCAAATCACAGCAAATTGCAGACCTGGGTTTTACTTTTGATTTTATCTCTAACTGGTTGTGTGTAATCTTCATGGTGTTATTTAGCCTCGTTTATTTTCCATCTGTGAAGTAATGTAAAAATGAACTGTAAACTCTTTATAGCCTTAAGAATTCAAGGAAACTGCTAACCCTCTGTAAATTATGATTTTAAGACATATATGTAGGAGTGGTCTTAAAGCTTTCCATTTAGGCCTGGAATGTTCTGTAGACAGATCAGTGAAGGTCCTAGAAAATGAAATTCTGTTAGCTTCCATACCTAGATTATTCTGTCAGCCTGTTTAGTATGGTTGTTATGAGGTACCTGGAGCTAATTGCCTTGCAAAGGAAAACAGAGTTTATTAGTTCACAGTTTGAGAGGCAGGTGGTCCTGGAATGGGCCGGCCCTCTGCTCAGCCCCCTGGAAAGAGTACCTTGGCTGTGTCACAACAAGTGGGAGAAGTAGAAGGGACACGCCACACATGTCTGACTTTGTCTATAATAAGTTGCTTTATCAAGAACTAACTGGGGACCAGCAAACTAATTCATTCCTTCCAAGGACAAAAACTCCTGTGACCCAGCCTTCTCCTACTGGGCCCTACCTACTAAACCCCATCACATACTAATTCTTTACACTGGGAGCCAGGGTTTCAACACATTAAGCTTTGGGTGCCAAAACACAGCAAGGCGAAGCAGAGATGTTAAGATTGGGTGTAAAGAATAAAAGTCTTATATTTTCCCTAAACTGTTCTTTAAAGTTTAAATTTCAATTCCACTTTTAAAAGGCTTATTGTAATGCAGGCTTTTTAAAAACTTTCCACTAAACTGTTTCCAAATGAGTAACCAAATAACCAAGTAAAAACACATTACCACGAGAAAACTTCAAGAAAGACAAGAAAGCACTGTCAAAATCATAGATATAGGACAAGAGAAGCAACAGGAGAGAGTTATAAGCTGTGTGGTGAATCTTCATACACGAGACTGAGGTAGGAAGATCTCTAGTGGATGTAAAAGTGAAGCATGAGGTTTTAAAGTTATTCTGTATGCGGGTGTTTTCAGTTAGCCAGGGGGAAATGTAGTCTGCCATTCTAGAAATGTGTACTGTGGTTCCTCGGTTCACAAACTTACTTTGTTTTATGATTTTGGGGGAGATGGCTGCATTTGCATTGTGTGGGGAAGATGGCCTGGGTAGTGTTTGTCATCTGATGCAAAGATCTCAAACAGAAATAAAATTTTGCCAACCATTTCTCTTTATGAACCAAATTGCTCTCAATAGAAGTGATCATGAACCGAGGTATTACTGTACAGTGATTCATTCACGGAAACCTGGTTATAAATGGGGAATTGGGCACATAATTACATTTATAGCAAGTGCTAGTGGTCATGCCAAGGAAGGGCTTGCTACCCAGGATGCCCCAGCACACCCTCCTGCTCCCGCATGGCCTGGGGCAGGTGCTGTCACAGGCCTGGCTCTGGTGTCTGGGTAGGAAACGACAGCTAAACTCTGTGAGAACTCACCGTGTGCCAGCATAGTTTAAGTGTTTACCGTGGTCTGTCTCATACCATCTTGTGAACAGTCTTTGTATGAGGTTGATTATTAAGAGGAACTGAAGAGAGAATAAATGAATGAGGGAAAAAAGGAACTGAGATGGGCTGTGTACAGGTGCACAGGCCTTACGAGGAAAGTGATCATTATGCATATTTAAAATGCACCAAAATACCTAATTAAGTAAAACAATAGATACAAACTATGCTGAGATCCAATAACTGAGAAAAGAATTTTCTCTGAACGAATTCTGTCATGTTGGAAGGTAACTAAAGAAGACAGCAAAAGCAAAGAAAGCAGCATAGAGAAATGTTTTTAAAAAACAAAACCAAAACAGTATAACAAAATGAAATGGAAATAGTATCTGAATTACTCAAGAATCTACTTTTAAAAAGAATGTACTTTCTTGAGTAAAAGAATATATATATATTTATTTATAAGAGGGTTGAGGGACCACGTCAGGGCACCAGCGTCCTTCATGACATGAAAAATGATGTGAGTATGGAACAGAAAGTCAAAGAGGAGAATGGAATGGGATAAAAAATATTGAAAATGAGGTGGAATAAAGAAGTACTGAAAGGAAAACTGAAGGTCAAAGCCAGAGTTCAAACCCTATTGCAGTCTATTATGAGCCTACCAGCTCTGTAGAAAATTGGCTTGATAATATGGAGGTCCCATGGACAATCTCTCACAGGATTCGCGGTGCCTTAATGAGTATCGTACTTGCGTGCATTTGTTCCAGTATCTGTAACCCATAAGAACTAAAGTCAAAATTTCTGTGTTTTATCAGGTCTTAAAATAGATGCTTGAAATAGATCAGTTTTAGGGTACAACTTTCACACTTTTTTTTTAAACTTTAAAAACAACTCCCCCAAAAGGATAAAAATGATACAGAATTTCCAAAAAAGTAGGAAATTAACACTAGTTATTATATTGCATATTGTTATTGTAAAACTGGTTGCTCAGGTTACAAGATTTAGACATGAAAAAAAGATCAATCAATGAAAACACAAACTGTTCTTTATGATGAACTTACAGAGATTAGTAGTATAGTTATCTATCTTGTGTGTATGTATATATATATGTGTATATATATATATATATATATATATATACATAGATACAGGTTATAGCTCATTAAAAAATAGATGTTAGGACATTTGATTGATGCTGGAAACCCTTTGGGCCTAGAAAAGTCAAGTGAAGTCACAAAGCTTGTTAAATAGCATGAAACCAGTCATCTCCTGTCCAGTTTCACTTCCAGCCTGCAGAGCACTTAGCGGTCATTACTCTGTCCATCCCACTAGGGAGGGAGTTGGACAGACTGACAGTCCAGCTGTGTTTGGAGCCCGCAGAAAGCCTCAGTGTCATGACCCTGAACTGTGGAAGGACAGGCGCCTTCACAGGGAGATACGGAAACTGCTTCCCCTGAGCAGGGCTCTCCTTCCTGCTGAAAATGGGGAGGCCACTAGCTTTTTGCAGCGTGGCCCAAAGCTGAGTGGAGCCCATGTGAAAGTGAGTTTGTTGTAGTTAGGGGTTGTACACAGAGAACAATTAGAATTAGGACATGGAGTTTATAATATTTTTATAATGGTCACCGGGAGTTAACACAGGAAAATGCAGGAAACTTATCCACAACACCAAAGACATAAATTATTTAGTCAAGGGTCTAAACCCCACAGTACATGTCCCACATGAGTCCAGATAAAAATCCAGAGCTCACGACAATGCCTCCCACAAATCCAACTGGAGATCCAGAGCCCACAAGAAGGACTCACACCAGTCTCTTTTACGGATCCATACCCGGAAGACCCAAAGGTCAGCAGTGGAAGCCAGAAAGTCTATGCCAGCAGGATGAAGGAGCTGTGCTAGTGGGATGAGCGTTCTACGCTGGAGCCAAAAAAATCACACTCACAACAAAAGCAGGGCTAGGCACCACAGCTGTCCTCAGCGACACGGAGGCCCCGAGCTCCTCCTCCGACAAGCACAGTCGGGTACATGCCAGGAAGCAGCGTGATGAGTTCATCCTGGAGACCAAGCAGCGCATGTCTTCCCCTCCGGAGCCAGGAAGCAATGCTTGATGTTAGGACCAAAGCTTCTCCAGGAGAACCAACAGCTCAGACAGCAACTTGTAGGAGAACCCACAATGCCTCCTTAATGCCTCAGTCCCTCTCTCTCTCTCCCTTCTTCTCCACCTATTTATCCTGGCAACCTTCCTCAGGTGGAGCATCTTCTCTCAAGGCATGCTGATGTAATCCAGCTGGCGTTAAATTTACCACCAGCTTTCAACCCATAACAGAGTTAATTGTGAGGCCTCCAGTGACTGATCAACAACCTTTCTGCCTGAGCTCTAGCAGGTTCTGGGCTGGGGATGCAAGAACAACGGCCTTGTGGTTCTAGCATAAGAAAAGGAAGAGCAGCTTTGTGTAACCTCCCTGAATTTTCTCTATAACTAGAGTCTATTCTATGGCAAAATCTTTCTCCCTAAGCAAAACTAAATCTCAGCCCAGCAGGAGATGGTTTCAGTCTTCCTGTTCCACCCAAGTGGACCGAAACAAAACAAAACTAAAGTGAAATCCATAACAGGCAAGGAATAGGACCTCAAGGAGATAAATTTGCAGTAGTTTAGCCAGAGGACAGAGTAAGAAATCATCAGGAAAATGATACATTCCTGGAGAAAGGACAGAAGGAATCACTTGGGAAGGCTCGACCTGGAGCCACAAGTCCACTAAAATACTGAGACCAAATCAGGTTATATAAAGGTTTCCTTCCTTCCCACGCTACCACCATACAAATGAGTGTTCTGTGCAACAGTGGCTTCCAGCTGAGACTCTCACAGGAGCAGCACAACAAAGGAAAGCCCCACAACCAACAGGGGACAAAAAGAAGGTCAGAAAAAGCTTCTGGTGCCTCCCAATTCCTGGCCGGGTTAATACAAACCCTCACACATAAAGCCTATTTAACCTCAGTGCCTATTTAAGATGCAAGATGCTCAGTGTACAAAATATTGCAAAGGATGCCAAAAGGAAGGAAAAATACCAGTCTGGAGATAAATCATCAAAAACAAATTTAGATAAGACTTCTAGCCTAGAATGATCAGAAATGGAATTTATAATGATTAACATGTAAATAGTCTAATGGAAAAAGTAGACAGCTTTTAGAACCAAATGTCCCTAAAGAGAAGATAATTGTAAGAAAGGATCAGAAGGGAATGCTAGATATCAAAACCCTGGAACAGAAATGAAGAATGACTCCTGTGGTTCATTTGTAGACTCAGGAATGAGCAATGAAATTGAAAACTTGTCAATAGAAACCTCTCAAAATGAAATGCAGACAGAGAGAGAAGAAAGTATCTGAGGAGATGTTTCACCAAGGAAGAGATACAGATAACACAAAATCACGTGCCACTAGAAGGCTGCAGAAACAATGAGAGAGGAGGAGTGGCTGGAAACATACCAGCCTAAATTAAAACAGTGTAATACGGCAAAAGAAGTCCTTACTCCCTCAAATCCTCCCCCTCCTGCTGAACACAATACTTCACTGCCATGGCCGCTCCCTGAAGCGGTCCTCTCTCCTGAGTGTCTTTAGTTGCACTATTGTGGTTCATTGATGTCCTGAATTGATTCAAAACATTTAGCTTTCATGGTGATTCTGGTTTTGTGGTAGGGCCAGAAGTCTCAAGGTGCCAGGTCTGGTGATTACAGTGGATGAGGACACACAGGTTTTTGCAAGCCTACCTTTCTGTTGGATGGCATGCATGCTGGAAGCAGTGCTCAGTGTATACTTTTTCTTGCTTGCTTGCTTTCTCTTCCTTCTCTTCCTCCTCTCCTCTCCTCTCCTCTCTTCTCCCCTCCCTCCCCTCCCCCCTCTCTAAATCACATCTTGTAAAGGCACAAAAGAGGACTTCCAGAACTGCTTCAGAAAAGGGCATGGAAAATAGAATGTGTTTGAAGTGATCAGGGGTGGTGATGAGTGGGAAACAGCACTACATCTTTTACAGTAATACTTTTCAAAAATTTAATCATTTATCATATATTTTGAACACAACTTGTACCACCACATACCTGCTACAGTGCCCGAAACAAAACACTGAAACCCTAAATGCTGTTCAGATGCTGAGCAATAGGAATTTCTCATCTGACTGTCGATCTGAATGCAAAACAGGACACCTACTTAGGTGGGCAGTGTAGTGGTTTATTACAAAGTGAAACATACTTTCACCAGTGCTGTACAGTGCATGCCCATTGGTGTTTAGCCAGAAGAGCTAAAGACTTACACAAAAACCTGCCCATGGATGTTTATAGCAGCTTTATTCTTAATTGCCTAAACTTGAAAACAGAGTTACAGTCGTTCTACGTTTTTGTTGCGGGGTTTCATTTGTGTTGCATTTTGGGTAAATGAATTATGGGAAACACAGTCAAAGGGATGCTATTCAGCACTGAGTAGAAATGAGCTTTCCATCGATGAAAGAACACAGAGGGACAGCAAGTGAACACTACTAATGAACGAAGATAATTTGAAAGGTTGGATGATTCCTATACCAGATGATTCCAATTATATGGCATTCTGGGAAAGGCAAAAACATGAGGAGATTGCTAAAGTAGAAGTTTGCCAGGTGTTGGAGGGAGGGAAGGAATACCAAATCACAGAGGACTGCAGGCATGACGCACACTCCCTATGACACTGTCATGGTGGACATGCGACATCGTGCATTTCTCAAAACCTGCAGAATGAACAACACTAAAATTGATCCGTGGTGTGGAGCTGGGCTTTGGTGGTGAGGATGCATTGATGCAGGTTTGTGTGTGGTGGTACTTGGGCCACTCTGTGGTAGCAAGCTGATTGGGAGGCTTTACATGCGAGCAGGGAGGTACGCAGGGCATACAGGTGCTGTGTTTTCAGCTCAATTTTGTTATGGACCTGCACCTGCTTTAAAAGATTTATTAAAATAAGAAGCATTCGGGTGTCAGATATTTGTGTATATTGTGTAGAATACTTGAACGGCTGCCTAACATTTTATTCTGGTCATTTGGATGCAATGTGATGGAATCGACTTCCTCAAACTTTATTGCTTGACTTATTTCTGTATTTATTTGAGCTCATTGACTGTTGCCATGACTTCTGCTGAATGTATTCAATACATCACTTAGCATTTCAAGACATTATGCACACACATTATTGCTTTCTGTTTGGAGAAGAGAGGTTATAAGCATGTTTAGACTATGTCTTGTCAGGGTCAATATCTAAAACTACTTAAGATCAGAGCTTTAAAGAAGGCCTTGAATTGGTGGCAGGCTGTGTGGCATGTGAAATGCTCTTAAACCGACAGTGCTGTGTGTGACCAAATGGTAGAATGGCCAATCTCGTAAAATGTTCCATTTACGTGTATTTGTCTCTGTTTATGGTAGAAATATGTGAGTACTTGTTTCCCCATGCTGGGGGACAAGGGTGAAACGGAGACAAGGTGCCTGGATGTGAAAGTCAGAGAGACACAAAGATGAAGAAGCAGCTCTTGAGAGTTTGCAGAAAGTGTGTAGCAGCCCAGCCTACCTGTGGGGGCAGCATTTCGTGGGTGTGTGATCGGCATTCACAATCAGGAAGGTGTCCTGTACAGGCTGTATTCCCGGGGGCTCATGGAACAGAACTGACAGCTAGGTTATGTACTAGCAGAAAGGACATATCCAAAGGTGGTCATTTATGTCTTTTGCATATGTGTGTTTGCTTATGTACACATATTTTAACATACATATTTTTTCACATCCATGAAAAACAAAGTATTACGTAGGCATAGCCCTAGGTATCAGACCTTTTAAAAGAGAAATAATTTTTATCTTTATAACTAATCTACTGACAGAAAGGGTTGACATATACTCTAGTTCTTGGTTTATTACCATTAAGTTGGGACATTTGGAACAATTATTACAAATGAGAAAAATCATTTTACTTTAGTCAAGGATGTCTAATAATTGGTTATCTGGGATTCTTCAGTAGTTTATAGTAATATTTATTGAAGTTGATGATAGCTTGGCAGTTGGTTCTGGAATTTTGATATTTGTCTTGAGAAAATTAGATGTTTTTCAGTAGCCACAAACAGAAGAGAAAGAAACCAATCAGACTGAAGTAGAATTACTAGTTTTAGTTTGAACCAGTTACACATTTCTAAGACAGGATCTCACTATGTAGTTCAGGGTGGCCTTGAGTTCATCTTGTAGCCCAGGCTGGTCTCGAACTTGCAATGATCCTCCTGCCTCAGCCTCCTGATTGCTGGAATTATAGGAGTGCACCACCATACCTGGCCAGTTATAGATGTTGATGAAGCCACAAAAAAAAAAAAAAATCCTTGAAAACTAGGAATGTATACTCTGCCTTACTTTAGTACAGTGTCTGATAGTCTTAGGGACTGAAGGTGGATGCTTAATCGTGACTGTTGGCTAGTCATGATCATTTTTCCTCCTGAATCTATTTTATTACATAATGTAGTACAGAAGTCAGGCTGTAGAAGTTGCTATCACTATCTTAGAGATGCAGAAGACACAAAGAAATCATTTCTTTCAGACATATGTTAGGTAAGTAAGTAGTTACAGACCAGCTCCCTTTAGTTCATATATAAAGCTAATACTCTTCATTTTCTGTTTTAAAACCAGTTCCAGACAGAACAAAACTTTCATCTTCACATTGATTTTTCCAGCATCAAAATAATATCTTGCAAGGTTTCTATTAATGTCAGCAGACTGTAGACCTTGAGACTCATCTCTTTCCTAAACATTGAGACTATGTGGTGACAGACTGTGGCTTGCCCTGCCTGCTGTGTGCAGGTGAATTTATCTTGTGTGGGATATTCTTGGGAATACTCCTAAAGAGTGTGCAGACCAGTTTGAGGCCAGAGAGAACAATGACAGGTCCCTGTAACAGGGAGATGTAAAACCCGGTAAATAAAATACACACAGGACAAATGTTGATAGAGCTGATGTCATGCATGTATCTTATGACACATTGTGGCTGTTAGGAATCACAAATTATTGAAACTCGATTTGATGATGTACATCCCTGTTTTACACATGAACTCCAAGAACTGCTCATTACAGCATTTATTCAAATAGCAAAAATTAACCTAATTTCCTAATGAAGGGAGAATGGATATATGCTGATATGT